GGCGGGGGGCGGCGGCGGCGGGCGCTGCGCTCGCTGGGCAGCCTGGCCGGGCGGCTGCTCCGCACCTGGGCGCGCCTGGCCGGGGGGCGCGGGGGTCGCCGAGCCGCCCCGGAGGATGACGAGGGCGGGTTCCGCGGCGGGGAGCGGCGCCGGCCCGGCGGGGCGGCCCCGGCGGCGGGGGGCGCGGGGGGCGATGCGGGAGCGGGCGGGGAGCGGCCGCCGGGCGCGCAGGGGCTGCGGAACCACGGGAACACCTGCTTCATGAACGCCGTGGTGCAGTGCCTGAGCAACACGGCGCCGCTGGCCGAGCGCCTGGCGCTGGGCCGGTACCGCGCCCGCGGGGCCCGCGCCGAGGTCACCCACCGGCTGGCGGCCCTGGTGCGAGCCCTCTGGACCCGCGACTACACCCCGCAGCTCTCCGCGGAGTTCAAGGTACCGACCGGACCCGCCCCGCGCGTCCCGAAGTGACCCCGGCCCCCAGCGGCATCCCCAGCCTCCACTGGCATCCCCAGCTCGCAGCGCCCACCAGCACCCCCTCCGAACCCACTGACACCTTTCCCAGACCCCAGCACCCACCAGCATTCCCTCTGAACCCACTGATGCCTTTCCCAGACCCCAGTGCCCACCGGCATGCCCAGCTCACGGGCTCCACCAGCATCTCCTACTCCCAGCACCTGCCAGCATCCCCCCACTCTTAGCACCCTCTGACACCCCTGCCAGCACCCCCAGCTCCCAGCACCACCAGCATACCTCCAGCCCCCCAACAGCATCCCCCCACTCCTAGGATCCCTCCACTTCCAGCACCCAGGGGCACTCCCAGTTCACAGCACTTACCAGCACCCCTCCTCTCAGCACCCACCAGCACCGCCCAGCATCCAGCACCATTCCCAGCACCCACCAGCACCTCCTGCTCACAGGACCTGCCAGCATCCCCCCACTCTCAGCACCCACTGGCACCCCCAGCACACAGGACCCATCAGTATCTCCCCACTTGCAGCACCCACAGCACCCCCTGCTCACATCACTCACTCCCCTGCCTTGTTCTCCCCATGGCCCCTGTCCTGCCAGACACCTCCCAGCCCTGCTGCCATCACCCCTCTGTGGCTGGGCTGCTGTCACCTGAGCTCTGAGCTCAGGTGGGTGGGTGGGTGGGCTCCCAGCCATGGCCACACCACTGGGCCATAAGGGTGAGCCCCCACTGGCTGTGATGGTGGGGTAAGGCAGGACAGTGCCCCGGGAGCCCAACTCAGTGGCCTCAGGCCCTGTCACTGAGTGTGTGTCACGTCCCTGCTGGGCACATGCCAGTGTGCTGTGGGCCTGCACCCAGACAGGGACAGGGTGTCAGGCACTGGACAGCATGTCCAGCCTGGCACCACAACTCCCCACGCTCAGGGACATGTGTCCCAGTGACATTTCAGCAGGGAGGGACCCGGTACTGCCGATGAACTTTGCAAAGTGGAAAGCCAGGCCCTGCCCTGGGGTAGCAGCCAGTCTGTATCTGCATAGGCAAGGTCTGGGGTACCCACTTCTCTACCCCCCCTTTCCAGGGGGATCCTTCCTTCCTCCCATCTTGGCCTGGAGGCTGGCAGCACCCACCCCACAGGGTGCTCCTGCAGGAGCTCATTGCTTTTAACAGCCCTATAGCAAAGCAACCAGCTCCTGTGCTGCTGGGCACAACAATTCCATGCCCTCTGCTCCTGAACACACACATTCCTTAGGCACAGATCAAAAAAAACCCCTCAGACTTCCAGCCTTTGCTTTGCATTCCCTCCTTCCCAGTGGTTACCTGCAGCTGCCACGAATTTCCACCTCATTTTTTAAAGCAGCCCAAGTAAGATTTTAAAATTTAGAGCCGAGACTTTGACTCGTTTTGCTGGAAACCCATCTGTGGTGGCCTTGCTCCCTCTGCTTGTACTGGGATGGTTGTACTGCTGGCAGCAGGGCTGGGGACAAGCAGAGCAGTGGCCAGAGGGGTCTTGGCTTGGGGTGTTTCCCAGCAGTGTTGGAGGTTCTGATCCCTATCCTGGCAGGTCCCAACATGCTGGTTATAATCAGCACGAATGGTCGGGGTTTAACTGCGTCACCCGGTTAAAATCCACACGGATGGTCAGGCTTTCTCCCTCCTGGTGCTGGGTTTGGGGCTGAGCTCCTAAAATTGTCCTCTGAGGAGCCCCGACCAGCCCAGACTTGGAGATAAGTCCTTGGGGATCCCCCCAACTCTGCTTTTTGGGGTGCCCCCTGGGCTTCCCGCAGAGATTCCACACCCTATGCATCCCGCTTTTTCAGGGTCAGGGACCCATCCTGGCAAGTGCATACACAGCTCTCATGGGCTGTTGGCATCTGCTGGTGGCACATACCCTGGGGCCACCCAAATCACGGCATGTAGCACCTCTGGGAGCTTGGCTGACTTGGCAAGGGAACTGGCTTCAGCGCTGGCTTGGTGGTCTGATGTTACCCTGGTGGGTGACACCTTATCCTGCCTGGATATCATCTCAGCCCCATGGCATTCCCAGCCCTGTTCTTCCCCCTACAGCCCCCAGTGAGGGGGGAACCCCCCATAAGGGCATTGTACCACTCACCTCACAGTGAAATTAATGCTAATTAGCCCAAATGCTGTGGCGTGGCCAGTGCTCAGTGGGGGCAGGCAGGGACCACATGGCATTAGGGCCTGATCGGGGTGGTGGTGGAGTTACAGGCAGGGAGGTGCTCTCTTTGATGGGGCAGGGGTGGTGTTGGTGGCATGGGGACATGGGCTTTTGGGGCAGGGTACCCAGAGGGAGCATCACAGCATCCCAGGGCTGGGAATTGCCTTTTCCTGGCTGTGACACCGAGTCGGTGCCGTTGGAGTGTGCAGGGCACACTGGTGGGTCCCCGTGGGCTGGTCTGGCTCATATGGGGTGTGCCCTGTGCCCAGCCACAGCAGGCTATCCCCTCCCAGCCTCATGCCAGCAGCTGGGACACCATGGTGATGGGCATGGAGCTGCTGTCTGGTGTGCTGGTGTCCCCACCTCTCTACTGTCCCCAGGGTGGGCACGATGTCCCTGTAGAGGCAGAATGAGGGCAGGCGCTACTGCAGGGATGGGGTGGGTTTTGTGGTGGGTGCTAATGAAGTATCTGTGGCTCACCCTGCCCTGCCCATCTCTTGCAGAACATCGTCTCCAAGCACAGCTCGCAGTTCCGGGGCAACGCGCAGCACGACGCCCTCGAGTTCCTGCTCTGGCTGCTGGACCGCATGCACGAGGACCTGGGGGCTGCCTCCCCTGCCCAGCAGACCCGCAGCCCCCAGGAGGTGGGTAACCCCACTGGGGTGGCTGCACACCCTGGCTCAGGTTGTTTGGGCCAGGTCTGGGAGCGGGGAAGCCGGAATGTCCTGGGAGGCAGTGGGACTGGAGCTGGCCCCCACCCCGGTGTGGATGGGGATATGGATGATGTGGTTTGGTCGGTGTGTGGGTGGAAGGATTGTGGGATCTGGGTGCTGGAGGGGTGAGCAGGGTGGTTGGAGTGCTGGGAGAGTGTGGGGGTGTCAGCAGGAGCATCCCAGTTCTGGTGGGCATCCTGGTTCTTGGGGCTGCTTGGTGAGGAGGAGATCCAGCCCTCCCGGCCCTCCCTGCCTCCAGCTAAGCCCACTGTAATTACAGCTCAGCAGCTTTGCTGCTGGCAAAATGAGTAATTAAGTCTCCTTCGATCCATCTGTGCTCAGGCATTGCCCTGGCCTTGGCCCTCCCTGCCTGCCTCCCTGCTTCCTGCCTGCTCCTTCCCTGCTCCCTCCCTCCCTCCCTGCCGGGTGCTGCCTGTTGCAGCAAATGGATTTGTGCAGTTGGCATTTGCCACGTCAGCTCAGCTCAGCAGAGTGCTGTCCCCACTCTGGGGGTGACTCCCAGCTCCACAGTGTGCTGTCCCCACTTTGAGGGTGATGCCCATCTTGGGCACAGGGAGCCTGGGACCAGCTTCCTCCTGCTTGGGGTGTCATGGCTGTGCCCAAGGGTGCAGGTCAGGGTCCCCATGGGCAGCCCCTGCCCAGCCTCCAGCCTGACATGGGCACAGCTCTGTCCCACAGGGAGGGCTCAGCTGCAGTGCCCATCTCTAGAGCCTCTGGCTGGGGCAGCCCTGTGGCTCCCAGCCCTGCTTGGCCAGGGTCCTGCAGCCATCCCTGCACTGAGCTGGGCTGTCCTCAGCCCTGCCACCTTTCCCGTGAGTTGTTTGGATACCCCAGGCTCTCTGGGAGAGCCTGGCAGCTCCTGTTGCTCACGTTAAATGTGAGGTGCCCACGTGTGCCATGGGCTGTGGTGTGACACCAGCAGTGCCCTCAGCTGCCCATGCAATGCCCGGGGCACCTGCCTGGCTCTGGGGATGGGGCCCTTGTGTGTCCTTCAGCATCCATGGTTTTGTTTGGCATTCCCCAGTCTTGGGGGATGCCACCTGAGTGGGATCTGCATGCCTGTGTCCTTGGGGAGGGGGTGCCCAGCGGGGGTGGTGGGAGCCTGGATAAATGGCTTGGAAGTGTCTGGATGGAGTTGGGCACACACGTGCCTGTCCTAGTGTTGGGGAGGAGGAGGGGGTGTGTGCATACACATGGGGATGAGAAGACAATTTGCTCCTGGTCAAGCCCATCCTGAGGCTCAGGGACTGGGGAGCTCAGCTGTTGGGCAGAAAGTGAGGAGATGAGAGCTGGGCAGGCTGGAGGATTGGGAATACCCTCCTGGCCCATGAGGTGTGTGCTGTGGCACCCAGTGAGCTGTGGGGCCACTGTGGTGGAGACCAAGGCTTGGCTGCTGGGAGGGCTGGAGGAGGAGGTGTCTCCTTGGGTTTTGGGGGTTCTGGGGGCTGGGTAGGGCACAGACATGATCTAGGCCCACTCTCATCCACACCAGATGGACCCCAGCCCTGCACAGATCTTAAGGACACGTCAGGCTCAGCAGGACCCGGTGCCAGCAGATGGCATGAGGAAAATCCACTTCCTGGCCAAATACCTCATTGATTTTCAATCCTTCTCATTGCGACACCAGAAACTCACTGTCTTACCCCAAAACAGCCCGGTCCCTTCCCAAGCCACCAACACTCCTTTCTGCAGCATCTCTTCTGTCACTGGGCTCCGGGGGTGAAGTCAGTGGCTCCCGTCCTTGACGTGGGGCTCCTGGTGGTTGGCAGGGCAGGGGGCAGGCAGGGGGTGTCACCTAACCAGGCAGGTTTGGCTCTGTAACACAGCCACATCCCAGTGTCCTTATTCCCTATGGAATGGGGCAGAAGACTGTGCTCTACTCGGTGTCCCTGGGGCACATCTCAGCTGTCAGAGGGGTGCTGTGCCCACCACCTGCACCCACACGGACCCACAAGGGCCCCATGCTGGGGCAGGGTCAGGGTGACGGGGGCTGTGCCAGGAGCCCTGCCCGGGCTCAGTGTGCCGGGTGCTGTGCCTGGGCTTGATGTGGCAGGTGCCACGCTGGGTGCTGTGCCTGGGCTTGCTGCTGGGGAAACACGCAGCAGCAGCAGCAGGGCTGGTTTCTGGGTGCCTGCAGCCCACACCAGCCCACCTGCCCGGGAGGGCATCGCGCCAGCCCGGCCTTCACTGAGCTCCCCCGGTCTGGGGATTTGCCTGTGGTTAATTGGCACCCAGCCGTGTCCCCCCCTCCCCGGGCGGGTGCATGCCCAGGAATGTGCACACCTGCTCCAGGAGCTCATCTCTCATGGAGACACACACGGACATGAACACAGACACATGGACCTGCTGCAGCGTCCCACCACCCCACCCCCCTTGCTCCAGCTCCCAGTGCCCATGGGCACGTTTGCTGGGTGGGGTGGGCACCTCCCTGCTGCCTGGGGGTGTGCCCATGGGCACTGGGGCTCCCTGGGGGGATGTTATGGGGGACCAGCTTTCCCCCACCCCCGAGCTTTTCCCCTGCTGGGATGCTGCTATGGCTCACCCAGGATTTCCCTCCCGGAGCTTTTCAGCCAGGCTTGAATGCATTCCCAGCTCCAGTTCCTCAGTGTCCAGGAGCTCTGGATGCTGGGGCTGCTTTGGGTGGCCCTTGGGGGTCCACCACTGCAGACCCTTCATTAACCCTTTGTGCCCCGTGCTGCTGGTGGATGGGATGTACCCCAAAGATTCTCCAGGAGAAGGAGAATCTCCTTCTCCTTCCAGGCAGCCTGGAAGGCACAGCAGTGCCAGGCAGGCAGGTGCCAGGGTCACTTTGGCATCACCTCCAGCCCATCCTCATGCCATGGGGACACCAAAACTGGCCTTGGTTCACTAGGACATGTCCCCAGAGCCTGAAGGGTGGGGGGTCACCCCGGCACCTCACTCACCCACTTGTCTCTTGTCCCCCCAGCCTGGCAAGGACAGTGGCAGGTCCCCGCCGGCTGCCCAGCACCCCCGGGGGCAGAGCTTCGTGCAGAGCCATTTCCAGGCACAGTACAGGTGAGTGGAGGGCTGGATCCTGCCCCACTGTGAGCCCTGTGAGGGAAGAGATGAGACAAGGAGGTGTTCCATCCATCCATCCATCCATCCATCCATCCATCCATCCATCCATCCATCCATCCATCCATCCATCCATCCATCCATCCATCCATCCATCCATCCCATCATCCCACCCAGTCCAGGCACCAGAGATGCTTCTCCCATGGGCAGAAAGTGTCCAAGGCCAGGTTGGACAGGGCTTGGAGCAACCTGGTCTAGTGAAAGGTGTCTCTGCAAGGGGGGCAGGTGGAATGGTCTTTGAAGGTCCCTCACAACCCAAACCATTCTGTGGTTCTGTCACAGGGCTCAGGATTAGGGTTTTCCCAAGCCTGTCCCAGCAGTCCAGGATAACGGTGTCCCTGCATGGGACATCCCACATGTTCATCTCTCTGAGACTCACAGGATGCCTGGAGGGCCAGCATCTGGCCACCCTGTGCCCATGCCATGGCAGTGCAGGCATGAGGGGATGCATCTGGCATCACAAGCCCTTCCTCCTCTCTCAATTAATCCCTTGGCCTATATATGAAAAAAAGGCACTTTAATTATCCACCCTTCCCTGTGCCAGAGCCGTCTGTGTGCAAAGGGATTTATTAATTTGTGTGACTGCTTCCCGGGGAGCTCAGTGGCTCTTCAAGGTGACAAATAACAAGCATTCAGGATTCCGATTTGGGGTTTTAATTTATTTTCCCTCTTTTTTGTTGAATATAAAGGCAGGAGAATAAGAAAAAAAGTAATAAAAAAACAGAATTAAAAAGAAATCGGTGGTAAGGTGATGGTTGGCATTAAAGGTTTGCTTAAGCCAGTCTCCAGTGGGAGATGGGATGGTCCCTGCTGGTAAGGGGACCTGCTCCCCCACAGTGGTCCTGTGACCCCCCAGCAGAGCAGATGAGTTCTCACTGTCCCCAGGGCTCCCCTGGAGCTGGTGGTTGTTCCAGGCAGGGCCTGGGTGAGCAGAGCTGGTGGTCCCAGGGCTGTGGTGACATCCTGGGGCTTGTCACAGGCAGATGTCCTGCTGCCCATCACTGCTCCTCCCTGCAGCCCAGCCACAGCCCTGCTTATCAGCAGGGCTCCTGTTCCCTCCCAGCACCCCAAGGTGTTATCCCTGCTTAACCCAGGCCATCTGGGGTCAACTCAAAGCCCCCAGGAGCCAGAAGCCACCCCAGACTCTGCCAGCCCTTGGGAGAGGGAGCAGGATGTGGGGGAGTTTGGGGGCTGCATACATGAGAGCAGGAGAACCCCCAGCCCTGCATTTCTCTCTAACTTCTCTAGCACCAGTTGCTGTGGGTGCCCTTGTTAGGTTTCAGAGTGAGCAGCCCGTGGGGTTGGGCAGGCGGGTACAGGCTGTGGTGCCTCACCCTGGCAGGAGGTTCATGCCAACTTGATGTGATGCTGGGACCACCCGAGCTCTGTGGGATGTGGTACCCAGGGTGCAGAAGCAGTGACAGGGCACTGCAACCCCAGGGTGGGGACTCTGGGGGGGCCAGAGTCTGGTGATGGTCCCCATCCATGTTTCACAGGTCCTCCCTGACGTGCCCTCACTGCCTGAAGCAGAGCAACACCTTCGACCCCTTCCTGTGCATCTCCCTGCCCATCCCCCTGCGCCAGACCAGGTGAGCCCGACCCCCCCCTCCCCAGTCGTGGTAAAACGAGAGGCACATCCACCACCCGGCAGGGTGTCAGCTCCAACCTGAGTCATTTACATGGTTTGGGGTAAATAATTGATGTGGGAGTTGGGGGCAGCACTGGAGATGGACGACAGCAACCCACTGCAGGAGCTGTGTCCATGGGGTGTTTGCCAGCCCAGAGCTGGAGCTGCTGTGTGAGTGGGTCACAGAATCACAGAATCAACCAGGTTGGAAAAGACCTCTGAGATCATCCAGTCCAACCCATGACCCAACCCCACCTTGTCACCCAGACCATGGCACTGATGCCACATCCAGGCTCTGCTCAAACCCCTCCAGGGACGGGGACTGCACCCCCTCCCTGGGCAGCCCATTCCAAGGGCTGATCCCTCTCTCTGGGAAGAACTTCCCAATGTCCAACCTAAACCTGCCCTGGGGCAGCTCAAGGCTGTGCCCTCTTGTCCTACTGCTGGTTCCTGGGAGCAGAGCCCAACCCCCCCCGGCTCCCCCCTCCTGTCAGGGAGTTGCAGAGAGTGAGAAGGTCTCCCCTGAGCCTCCTCCTCTCCAGGCTGAGCCCCCCCAGCTCCCTCAGCTGCTGCTCACAGCACTTGTGCTCCAGACCCTTCCCCAGCCTCGTTGCCCTTCTCTGGACCTGCTCCAGCCCCTCCATGTCCTTCCTGAACTGAGGGCCCAGAGCTGGACACAGCACTCGGGGTGAGGCCTCAGCAGTGCTCAGTCCAGGGGCAGAATTCCTGCCCTGGTCCTGCTGCCACACTGTTCCTGATCCAGGCCAGGATCCATTGGCCTTCTTGGCCACCTGGGCACCTCTGGCTCTGGTTCAGCTTCCTATCAGTACCCCCAGGTCCCTCTCTGCCTGGCCCTGTCCCTATCCTATGGTGCTGCAGGGGGTTGTTGTGGCCAAAGTGGTCGTTGTAAGCGGTGTCAGGTCTCAGCACAGTGTGCAGTGTCCCGTGGCTGAGGTGTGTCAGTGTGTCCCTGTGGTATCCCCAGGGCTCTCAACGTCACCCTGGTGCTGCAGTGCGAGCGCTGGCGCTTCGTGCGGGTGGGACTGGCTGTGCCACTGCTGGGCACCGTGGCTGACCTGCGGGAGATGGTGGCACGGGAGGGGTGCATCCCCCCGGAGCAGGTAACAGAGGGGGGACACACAGGGTGGGGGGACACCCCCCTCTCAGGGATGCTGAGGGTGCTGGGTGCCATCCCACAGGTGATCCTGGCCGAGGTGTCCCCGCGGGGCTTCCTGCGCTCGCTGGGGGACAAGGAGGAGCTGGGAGCTGCCGGGGAGGGGGCTCCTCTCTACGCCTTCCAGCCGCCCCCTGCCCGCCGCACAGGTACCGCCCCCGTGCCCTGATTGGCTGCTGGCTGCAGGCCTGCGCTGCTCTGATTGGTTGGGAGTGGCTTGTGCCGCGCTAGGATTGGAGCTGGGCTGGGAGGGGGGCAGCACCCCTGGGATTGGTGGGGAGGTGGATCCCCTCTGCTGGGATTGGTGGGGAGGTGGATCCCCTCTGCTGGGATTGGTGGGGAGGTGGATCCCCTCTGCTGGGATTGGTCAGAGGCAGCTGCGCTCCACTGGGGTTAGGGGAGACAGGATTGGTTTGAAATCTCTGCTGGGATTGGCTGGAAACTGATCCCTTTAGCTGTGGTTGGTGGGAGGCAGGTGCGCTCTGCTGTGATTGGTGGGGGCTGTGTCCTCTCTGCTGTGATTGGTGGGAGCCTTGCCACTCATAGTCTGATTGGTGGGAGCTGTGTCCTGTCTGCTATGATTGGATGAGAGCCTTGTTTGCCCCTATCTCATGATTGGTTGGACGCAGGTGTGCTGTGCTGTGATTGGTGGTAGTTTCCCCCCCTTCCCATGATTGGTGGGAGGCAGGTGTGCTCTGCTATGATTGGTGGGAGGCAGGTGTGCTGTGCTGTGATTGGTGGGGGGCCAAGCCCCCCAGGCTGTGATTGGTGGGAAGCACAGGGTGTAGGCAGCACTGCAGGCAGGGGAGCACAGGCAGGGACCCACCACGGGCATTGCATCGCACCAATTAACCAATTAACTAACTAACGAGAGCCCCTCCATGCCCCTGCCCTCCTCAGGGTGCCCCCGCAGCCTGCCCGCATCCCCCGGGGTGGCCCGGCCGGAGGGGCCGCGCCTGCCGCCCGCTGCCGCCCGCTCCTCCGACTGCCTGCACCGCGGGCAGGGCGGCCGCATCCTGCTGCTGCTCTGCAACACAGCGGGCGCCGGCCCCCAGCTCGCCAGGTACTGTCACCTGCCCCCTGCCTGTGACCCCGCCCTGCCCTCCCTCTGCAGGATGAGGTGCGAGGTGTCCCTCCCGAGCCGCCTGTGCCCCTCAGCCCCGTGTCCCCCACTGCCTGTCCCCAGGTTCGGGCCGCCTTTGGTGCTGAGGGAGGAGCGGGGCATCTCCTGGGAGCAGCTCCAGCAGAGCATCCTGGCCCAGCTGCGGGCGCTGCTGCGGGGAGAGGTGCGGGCACAGGTGAGCTGTGAGTGGGGACACCCTGTGCCCTCCCGGGGCTGCTGGCACCGGCTACAGTGGCGACAGCAGGGATGGAGCCACATGTGGCCGTGGTGTCTCTGTGGGTGGCCATGGTGGAGTTGTGGGTGGCCATGGTGGAGCTTTGGGTGGCGATGGCAGCACCGTCACTGTCTGTGGTGACACCCTCGGTGGCCATGGTAGAGCTGTGCCTGGCTGAAGGGTCACCAGGGGTGGCCAGTACTGTCACCAGGGGTGGTTGTGGTGGCCCTGGAGTGGTTGTGCCATTGCCGCTGGTGGTCACTGTGGGTGGCCCTGCTGTCCATGTGGGTGGTCATATTTGCACCACAGGCAGCCAGTGGTGTCACTGTGGGTGACCACAGTGTTCCTGTGGGTGTCTGAGGTGACCCTGGGGATTGTCTCATTGTCACTGCAGTGGCCAATGGTGTCACCATGGGTGGCTACATCATCACTGTGTGTGGCTGCAGTGCTGCCCAGCTCACAGCAGAGCCACCCCAGCCCAGCTGCACACCCCAGCACCCAGGTGCCACCATCCTATGGGCTTTGGTGTCTCTGTGCTGTCCCTTTGCCCCCCAGCTACCCCACAGCCAGTGGGGCAGGTCATCCTCCAGCCCCACATCCCTGGCCCCACAGATGTCCCTGGCCAACCCCGCCCTGAGGACCAAAGAAATCCATTTTTTGAGTGTTTTTGTGTCCCATGTCACAGAGCCTGGCTCCTGCCGGTGCTGCTGTAGGGCCAGGGGGCTTCTGTCCCCCCGCAGCCCCATAGCCCCCTCTCCCCTCTCAGGCAACAGGAGCCCTTTTCCGCATCCGCCTGGCTGGGGGCTCGGTCCCCTGCATCTACCTGTCCCCGCAGGACCCCCGCCCTCTCTGCCACCCTGCCATTGACAGGTAAGGGCACTGCAGCGACGGGATTGTCCCCAGGATGTCCCCTCACTCCCTGGGGGTGGCCAGTGGCAACACCATGGATGGGTGCAGTGTTCCTGTGGGTGGCTATGGTGTCCCTGTGCATGGTGGTGTTGTCACCATGGGTGGCCAAAGGTGTCCCTGTGGCTTTCCAGTGTCACCATGGATGGCCAGTGGTGCCACCATGGGTAGCCACAGTGGTGGTCACCCTGCTCCCCCAGCACTGTGTCCCCAGCCCAGTGTCCCCACTGTGGGTGGTGCACAGGGAGGTGCTGGCTGTCCCTGCCTGCCACCACAAGTGGGCAAGGAGGTGGCCCCACAGGGACAGGGGGTTCTGGGGGGGCATCTCATGTTGTCCTCCCCCCCAGAGCCCTGCAGCTGAGCGGAGCAGGCGGCCCCCCCCACGTGAAGCTCACAGTGGAATGGGACGTGAGCACCAAAGAGCGGTGAGTCCCTTGCCCCCAGGGTGGGGGGGACACCCCAACACTCAGGCCACCCTCCCTGACCGGAATCATGTCCCTCCCCCCCCCAGCCTTTTCGGCAACATCCAGGAGGAGGTGGTGCAGGACGCGGAGAGCGTGCGGCTGCAGCAGCAGGCACACCGGCAGCAGCACAGCTGCACGCTGGACGAGTGCTTCCAGCTCTACACCAAGGAGGAGCAGGTACGGGGCACCCCACACCCGTGTGGGCACCTGCTCCCTGCCCACACCTGCCAGAGCCACCACCGGGACCAAGCCCTGCCGTGGCGCGGCGGCTGTCGGGGTGTAAGATGCCGCTGGAGGTGGCAGGGGGGTGTTGAGGATGGTGCCGTGGTGTCCCCAGCTGGCCCCGGACGATGCCTGGCGCTGCCCGCACTGCAAGGTGCCCCAGCAGGGCACGGTGAAGCTGAGCCTCTGGACGCTGCCCGACATCCTCATCATCCACCTCAAGCGCTTCCGCCAGGTGGCCGAGCACCGGCACAAACTCACCACGCTGGTGAGGTTCCCCCTGCGGGGGCTCGACATGGCCCCCCACGTGGCACAGCGGGGCCAGCCCGGGGGGCAGCTGTTGGGGCGCTGGGCGCCCTGGCAGCCCCCCCTCCGCCTGCCCCCGGGCTGCCCCCGAGACTACCTCTACGACCTGTACGCTGTCTGCAACCACCACGGCAGCATGCAGGGCGGGCACTACACCGGTGAGTGAGCGGGGGCACTGCAGGGGGGCCACGGGGTGGGCATGGCGGCGGGGGGCAAACTGCTGGGCAAAGTGTGGGGTTTGGGGGCGCCTCGAAGAGCGTGCTGTGGAGCACGGTGTGGGGTTTAGGGGCATGGCTGGGGGTGCCGTGGGGAAGTGCAGGGGTCTGGGGGTGCTCTGCGGGGTTGTGGTGTGGGGTTTAGGGGCACTGCAGGGTTGTGGTGTGGGGTTTGGGGCCACGGAGTGGGGTTTGGGGGCACTGCAGGGTTGTGGTGTGGGGTTTGGGGCCACGGAGTGGGGTTTGGGGGCACTGCAGGGTTGTGGTGTGGGGTTTGGGGCCACTGCAGGGTTGTGGTGTGGGGCATGGAGTGGGGTTTGGAGGCAATGTGGGGGTTGTACCATGGGGTACAGCACGAGGCTGGGGGCACGGGAGAAGGGTGTGCCTTGGGCGTGGGAAAACGTTGTGGGGGGCACTGCGTGGGATTTGTGGGACATCACAAGAGGGTAGACCATGAACCATGCCATGGGGTTTGGGGGCCATGGGGCAGGGCAGAGGGGAGCTGGGGTGCCGAGGACACAGAGGATGGCGTTGCAGCCACCCCAGGGCAGGCACCCCAGCCACGTCCTGCTCCCCCACCGTGTCTCTACTCCTGCTCCCCACTGCACCCTGGAGCTGGGCGGGGGGGTCCCAGGGCAGAGCCCGCATCCCTCACCCCGTGCCCCCCTCACCCCCAGCCTACTGCTGCAACGCCCTGGACGGGCGGTGGTACAGCTACGACGACAGCCGTGTGGAGGGGGTGCGGGAGGCGGAGGTGAGCACCCGCAGCGCCTACATCCTCTTCTACCAGCGCCGCCACGCCGTGTCCGCCGGCGGCTCCGGCAGGGGTGAGCACCCACCTCCCTGAGCACTGTGCCCCGGGACAGGGCACAGCCACGTGTGCACACACGGACACGCGGGGCACAGCCGTGTGTGCTGACACACACACACACAAATAGACACACACACACACACACACACACACGCACATGCACAGGCCACAGCCACGTGTGCTGACATGAACACGTGGGGCACAGCCATGTGTGCTGACATGAACTTGCCAGCATGACCAAAGACACGCTGGCACACGCGGGGCTGGGCACGCACAGCACTGCCAAGCACACGTGTGTGCAGACACCGGTGTGAGCACACCACGGCCTGGCTGAGGGCACACATGTGCACACAGGTATGTGCATGCACAGCAGAGCCAACTGCATGTGCATTCAGCACACACGCAGCAGGGCTCCATGCACATGTGTGCATATGGACACGTGTGCACACCTGTGCATGGACGGTACAGTGGGCACACAGCACAGCCAAGGCTGCCCGTGTACATGCATGTGATGCACACTGGCATGCTGGGTTGAGCACACACGGCACAGCCACGTGCACACCCTTGCACACGTGTGCACAAACAGGCAGGTATGAACAGTACAGCCAAGTGCACCCAGGTTTACATGCATGTGCATGGACACATGGTCACACACAGTGCTGACATGTGCAGTGTCACTGGGGCACACACACATGTGCTTGGAACTGTGGCCACACAGCACCCTGCACAGCACATGCACCACACGTTTGTGCACATGCCTACATGTGTGCACACCCCCCTACATGTGAGACCTACATGTCTGTGCACACAGACCTACAACACCTGTACGTGTATGCACACACCAGATGGCTGGGTGCACACCTACATATGTGTATACACACACCTACACGTGTGTGCACATGCACATACACCTGCATATATGTGCACACATACATGCATGTGACCTACGTGTGTGCACACATGTACATGTGACACCTACCTACGTGTCTGTGCACACAGACCTACCTGCAACACCTGTACACATGTCCATACACCCGTACACATGTGCACACATACATGTGCACACACACACACACATGTGCACACACATACATCTGCATGCCTGTGCACACACACCTACATGCCTGTGCACACACCTGCATGCGTGCACACGTCCCACACACGTGCATAGACCTACACACGTGTGCACACACATACATCTGCACGTATGTGCACACACCCCTACATGCCCAGGTAACGCCCCCCAGCCGATGCCCCCCCACTCCCCACGCTGGGTGCCCCCGGGTGCCTCACTGTGGCCCGACGGGACCCCCGCTCTGGCCCCCGGCCCAGCGCCCCCTCCTGCTCCCCGCAGGCTCCGCCGCCCCCCCGGGACATTGGCTGTTCCGCCTGGCCGGCACCGACCCCGGCACGGACCCCGGCACCGCCCCCGACCCCTCCGGCACCGCCGCCGCCCCGGAGAACGGTGAGGCTCGGCCCCCCAAGGCCCCCCCGGACCTCCCGAGCCCCTCTGACCGTGGTTCCCACGCAGGCGGGTTCGAGGCGCGACCCCCGGTGCGGGGTCTGCAGGGTCGCAGCCTCAGCGTGCGGATCGCGCCCGTCGGACCCCCGGGGCAGGGGGAGCCGGGCCCCCCCCGCGGCCCCCGACGGCCCACCCGGCTCCGCCGGGCCGCCAGCGCCGAGGGGACCCCGCGCCGGCCCCCCCCGGGCCAGGGCAGCCCCGGGGTTGGGGCCCCGGCCCGGATCGTGCTGCCCGACGGGGACGCGGGTGTCCCCCTGGGCCGGCGCCCCCCCGGCCCCCCGGCGCTGGGGCGGTCGCGGAGCTCGGCCAGCCTCCCCCCCCGGCCCGAGGGGGGTCTGCGCCGATCCGCCTCGCTGGGCAGGGGCGCGGGGGGGACCCCCCTGTCCGCCCGGGGTCCCTCCGGGGCCACGCTGCAGCGCGGCCGGCAGCCCCCCGGTCCTCTGCGCCCCGCGGCCGTGCCAGAGTCCAGCTTCTGAGCTGCAGATGGGGGTCATCGCCCCCCAGCACCCAGACAGGGGGTCCCGAACTAAACCGGGAGCTCCCGAACTGCGAGAGTCCCAGTTCAAGGGTTCCTGAACCAGAGGATCCCAAACAAGGACTTCCATCCTGATCCAGGAACATCCCGACCCGGGGGCATCCCCCACCGGGGCATCCTGACCTGGGGGCCCCGGAACCGGGGCATCCCCAAGCTGAAGGCAGTCAGGTACCCCAGAGGTGGGTTATCCCAATCCAGAGGCATCACAAGCTGGGGACATCCCAAACTGGACCCTCACAAACCAGGGGCTCCCAAACTGGGGGCATACGAAACTGGGATTATCCCAAACCAGAGGCTCCCAAATCAGGGCATCCCAGCCTGAGGGCTCCTGAGCCAGGGGGAATCCCAAACCAGGATATTCCGACCCAGAGGCTCCTAATCAGGGGGCCTCCTGAACCAGAGCCTTCCAAACAGGGAATCGTGACACGGGGGCTCCCAAATGGGGCACCTGCACCCAAGGCATTCCTGCCCAGGGCCATCCTGACCCAGAGGCATTCCAAACTGGGGCCATCCCCAGCTGGGGATTTCAGACCTGGGGACATCCCGACATGGGGACATCCCAAACTAGCGTCATTCCAAACCGGTGGCTCTGAATCCAGGGGTATCCCAGCACCGGGCCATCCCAAACCGGGGGCATTTCCCACTCACCCTCCCACGCCCCTTCCCCAGGAGCAGGCGGGCTGAGGCTCCCCGGCTCCGCCAGCTCGAGGGCACCAGAGTATTTATTGTACCAGGAGAGTTTTATTCAGAGACGCTTTTTGTTTTCTAAAAGGCGACTATTTTGGGGGGTGGGCGGGTCCCCCACACCACGGTTCTATGCAATACGCGATTCCTCCAGCCAGCTTTTGTACGCGGGGCTCCGCCCCACCGCCGGCGGTTTCTATTAAAGACACGTCAAACAAGTCCGGTGTCCGTGCCAGGGGACGTGTCCGAGGGGGAAAAGGGCTTTGTGTCCCATGGCAGGTGGGGATCAGCCTGGGAGTGGGGCTCGGTGGGGTCAGTCCTGGCCGGATCCCGCCCCGCACGGTGGCTGTGCCCGGGGGGACGTCTGGGAGGGGGTGGCAGCACCAAGAGCACCAGCGGTGTGGCACCGTGGGGCTGTGCCCACCAAGGTACCAGGGAGATGTCTGGAGAAACTTGGTGCAGCCACAGTAAGGCAGGGATGGAGGTGGAGGAGGTGGGATCAGGATGGAGCTGCAGGAGATGGATGTACAAGCGGAGGAGAGGAAGAGGGTGCTGTAAGTGGACACAGCGGTGGGATCAGGGTGGAGGAGACAGATGGATGTGGAGGAAGTGGGACTGGAGTAGAGGTGAAGAAGAGGAGGGTGGAAGAGCAGGAGGTAGGGGGGATGAGGTGGATGAAGGAGACAGGAACAGATGTGGAGAAAAGTGGAGATGGAGGTAGAGATGGAATTAGGATTGGGTCAAGGTGGAGGAGGGGGAGGAGGAAGGTGGAGGAGACTATTCCTTGCTGGAGGGCTGTTCCAGTCCAAGGCCCTTGCTGTGCCACTGTTGGTGCTGTGGCTGTCACCCTGCTTGACCCATGTTGTCACCCAGGCACACACAGCAGCCTTGGGCATGGCAGGTTCCCTGGGGCACCCATGGGTGCTGGCAGTGACATGGACAGGATCCCTGAGCCCCACACCCAACTGCAGCTGGGAGGGGGTGGGAGCCCCAATATGAGTGACCACCCCAAGCCTGAAGCTGCCCCATCCCATGGGACCAGGCCCATGACAACATCAACCATAATATCATCAAACATAAAGCATCAAATCATCGTTTTATCACCCAAACCCACCCAAAACTCCACTTTCTACAGCCCTCTGAGAGTCTCTGTCCTAAACCCACCACCCCAAATCTGAGCTGGGACCACCCCAAGCCTGGTGCTGCCCCATCCTGTGGGACAGGGAGCACAACAACATGCACACAGCAAACCCCATCACCTTTTTCAACCACTAAACCCCACTTCCTCCACCAAAGTGCCTCTCACAGCTCGAGTCCTAAATCCAGCAGTGGGCACCAATCCAATGCTGGGCTGGAACCAGCCCAAAATCCAGGCTGGGACCAGCCCAGGTTAAATGCTGCCTCATCCCATGGAACTAGAACAATGACATCCCACACAAAGCAAAATCCCCATCATTTTATCCCCCCAACCCTCATTAAACCCCATTTCCTATGGCAAAGTGCCTTCCAAGAGCCCATGTCCTAAATCCATCAGTCGGCACAAATCCAGTCCAGGACCACCCCAAATCCATGCTGGCACCACTCCAAATCCAGGCTGGGAGTACTCCATGCCAGGTATTGCCCCATCTCGTGGGACCAGGACCAGGATATCCCGCACTAACCCCACCCCCGACCCTCCTCCACCCCAAATCCTCCCCCCCCAGCCCCGGTTAAGGCCGGCCCGGTGCTGCCGGGGCAGGAAGCAAACGCCGGTGCCTCCGGGCAGTTCTCAGCGAGTGGCACACGGATTTATTGGATTTATTGATTGCTTCGGGGTGCTGGTGCCCCCTGGGTGCCCACCTGGGGCGAGGGGCACGGCGCGAGCGGGGCGGGGGCGAAGCGCTGCCATTTCCATCCTCCCTCTCGCACCGGCTGGGCGGGAATGGCTCCAAATAAAACAAATCTCTCTATAGTTTCTCTCTCTATATATACAAATATATAATATATATATATCTCTGCCGATATATATATATATAGAATCTTCTCTCTCTGGAAAGGATAAAAGGTTAATTTGTCTGTGCATGCACGACCAAAGCCACCAACCCACAGGGACAGCGGGTGCCAAGGGACGTGCACCCTCACCCACCAACACCCCGAGAGCCCCGGGGGGGCCACATCCTGCACGTGCCCAGGTTATTGCTGGTCAGGTCCCATCCTGCTCCGGCAAACAAGCGGTGGGGGAAGAAGCCGAAGGAAGGAAATCCCACTGCAAAGCGCCGGCGAGCTCGTGGTCACCTGGCTGGTACCCAGTGGCACCCGCCGCCGGGGCACGGAGCAGGTGGTGGTGTCACCCCAGGACGGTGGGTGCTGCGGGGTGGGGGGTGCAGGCACCCGGCCGAAAGGCAAAGTCTGGATAAGGCGAAAAAAAATGAAATAAAGAACAGTGACCGCCCCCAAACCGGGCACTTTGCCACCCAAAACTGGCGCGCCCGTGGCCCTCGGTGCCGATGGCCGGTGCTGGCCCCGGGGTGCCGCACGGATGAGCTTGGGGACAGGGACACTGTCATAGGGCTGTGCTCTCTGATTCCTCCTCCTCCTCCTCCTGCCGGGGGGTCACGCTCGGCCCCGAGAGTCTCTGCGCTGCCTCCGGCGGGTCCCGGCACTGGGCAGCATCCGGGGGGACGTGGAGGGAGGGGACCTCAAAACGGAGCAGACCTGTGGGAGGGCACAGTGATGGGGGACACTGTGGCGGGGGCTCGGGGGCAGGACACCCGCCGGGGCTGGCACCGGGTTGGTGCCACCAGCAGGGATGTCACCCCGCTCCATGCCACCCCACCCGAGCCGGTGGTGACACCGGCTGCCCCGCCCCTCCCAGGGGACCCGCAGGGCGAGGCTGCACTTGTGGTGACAGAGGGTGACTCCAGCCCCAGGTGGGCGGTGTCACCATGTCCCTGGCTGAGAGTGGAGCAACCCCAGGTGGGCAGGAGCTCCTGAGGGCACATGGTGGGGCAGCTGCCCCCGTGCCAGGGGCAATGCCAGGGTGTGATGTCAGGGCTGCACTCATGCCAGGGTGCAGTGCCAGGGTGCAGTTCCAGAGCCACAGCAATGTTGGTGCCACCCAAAGGCAGGTGGCAGCCCCTGGGGAGTGCCCTGCCCCACAGGGTGCCCGGGGCTCAGTGCTACCCACGCTGTCCCACCCCCTGCGGGCAGGACGAGCATACAGGGACAGAGCCTCTGCCCCATCAGACTCCGTGGGGGCTCCCTGACCCCACACGTGCCCAGGCCCTGTGCCCCTGATGTCACCTGGCCATTCCCAAAGCATATCCCTGACTGTGCCTATCCAACAGCTGCAGGGACACGGGGCGGGGGGTGGGACACATGACACCAACAAAGCCCAGGGACAGCAAGGTCAGAACAGCAGGAACGGCAGGAACAGCAGAACAGGCTCATGGGGCTTCCCAGGGACAATGCCACCTTCCTGGGGACACTGCCAACTTCCAAGGGACATAGCCAAGTGCCCGACTACATTCCTGGACTCATCACCACCTTCCTCAGGACAGTTCCACTTTTCCAGGGACATCACCACCTTCCTGACTACATGGCCACCCTCACAGGGGTGTTGCCACCTTCCTGGGGACACTGCCATCTGCCTGGGGACATTGCCACCTTCCTGGGGCCAGCACAACCTCTCTGTGGCCAGTTCTGCCCTGCCAGTGACACAGTAACCTTCCTGGAGACATTGCCACCTTTCTGAGGATGCTGACACCTTACCAGTGACCCATCCACCTTTCCAGGGACACTGTCACCTTACTGGGGACACTGCCATCTGCCTGGGGACATTGCCACCTTCCTGGGGCCAGCACAACCTCTCTGTGGCCAGTTCTGCCCTGCCAGTGACACAGTCACCTTCCTGGAGACATCGCCACCTTCCTGAGGATGCTGACACCTTACCAGTGACCCATCCACCTTTCCAGGGACACTGTCACCTTCCTGGGGACACTGCCATCTTCCTGAGGACATTGCCACCTTTCTAGGGATACCACCACCTTCCTGAGGATGCTGACACCTTACCAGTGACCCATCCACCTTTCCAGGGACAC